CAGTTTGGAGTCCCAGAAAGCAAGACTGAAGTATTGCTGGGAAGACATGGAAAAGGATGCCTGCGTGCAACATGCGGTCAAGCCGAGAGCAAACTATGGGCCTCTATCCGCGCTAATGGAGGGTATTTTGAAATGTGATTGCAGCGTGTTGCAGCAAATGATTTTAGCTGCCGTGCATAGAAATTACATCGTCCTTCGCAGCTGAGAAGTTTAAATATATTGCTATGAATTGGCGCCCATAATTTTGGGACACCCTGCATGGTGGGTTGTCCGGAAAGTCTCCGCCGTATCAAATCCATTCATCAAACAACATATTGTGTTGTGTCCTGTTAGTAACGCTCCGTCACCTTTCTATCAGTTTCATTATCCCACATTCATAGAAGTTTCTCGACTGAGAATCACTAAACCCTTTCAGGTGTCTTTTGCAGTCCTCTAGTAGATTGAACGATTTTCCACACGGAAAATTTTGCAGAAATTTAAAGAAATGGTAGTCTGATGGTCCTATGCCTAGACTATACGGTGAATGTGATTAGACATTCCATCCAAGCTCAAGCAATTTTAGACGAGTTTTAGACATTTTGGAAGACAAAGCCCCTACTATTGGCCACTTCTGGGCGCTCCTGGTCTACCGCTGCCTGAATTTTGACTTTTGGAGTAGTGTGAAACGGCTCGCTGGGGAGGCTGTACGACCGCTTGCGCTCCACGTTGTTGTACACGACCCACTTTTTGTCCTCCGTTTTCATACGTTTCAAAAACAACTCATTTTTGTTTCGTTTTAGCAACGAGTCGCACGAGGTGCGGCCCATCACATTGCGCTCGCTCAGTTCGTGAGGTACCCAAGCATCAAGGCGCTTAACAAAACCAAGTTCCAGCTAATGATCATGGATGGTTGATTTCGAAACATTCATTCTTCCTCTTATTCCACGAATAGTGATTTGCCGGTTCGTCACGATTAATATTTTGGTTTGGTCGTTTTCAAAAGGGATAGCCTTCTTGAGCGTTGCCGACTTTCAAGGGTAAACTCACCATGTCTAAATTTCGCAAATCACTCGCGTACTGTACGTTCCTCCAGAGTATATCTATTGAAATGTACCGAATTTTTCTAGCTGCTTGAGAGGTTTCTTGCCCTTGCGGTAGAAGTAAAGCATCAGGCGCCACAAATGCAAGCGATGATGCTCAAATTTCCTACGAGTCCTATACGGTCAGAGTTTGAGGATTCC